GAGTTGTAGGCCAGCCTGTGTTACAGAGTGAAGACTCTATCTCAAAACACCAAAACCAAAGCAAAACCCAAATAGAAGTGTAAGGCAGCTCAGCTACCTACAGTGTGTTCGCTGGCACATCACTTCCTTTCTTTAAACCGTGTTTGTAAGTTGGAAAGTACAACACTTTCTCAGAGGGTTGTCAGGATGACTGTACAGGCTCAGACATCTTAGCCTAGTCTCTGGCTCAACAAATGTCAGTATTACCATGATCCCACCTTGGGTGTGATCCTTAACATGGGTTTACGTCTTTGATGTGCTGTGAGAAAGTGTAGGAAGGGCCGATCAAGAAAGGTGACAATAAAAAGGCCTCAAGCAGCGGTCAAAGAAACAGTTTATTTGCCATGGAAATGACAGCTGACGGGAGCAGGTGAGTGCAGTGAGCTTCCCTGCATCTGCCACTTGGGGACTTGGGTTCCCATCACTGCCTTGCTCTGCTGGGGACCAATTACTCGCTCTACAGCTTCCAGCCAGACCTCATCTCAGTACCTGTCCAGGACATGAGAAAAGGGACACAAAGAATTCACCACGCCCTCAGTCTTGGGTGACCTTGCTCCCACTGGCCACACGTGATAAGGGTGCTGGGAAGTGGAGTGTTGGGATAAAAAACTCTCTGCTGTCCTACAAGGAGAAAATGGGCTTCTGTGACAATTGACATTCTTCACTGAGGACTCAAATCCCCAGTGGGTGTCCCTGGGGAAAAGACATAACCATTACCTGGAAAACAGTGTGGCCCAGCTGGGCTCCTGTGATTCACCCATGCTCAGCAGTCCCGTGAGAGTGATTAGCAGCTCCCCCCACCCACAGAATTCCTTCATTGTTCTCCGTGTAGTCGTGAGAGCACTTCTTGTCTCCACCACTCCTTCTCATAGTCTCCCTCACTACTAACTACTAACTCCTCTCCCCCGGTTACCAGTGTAACTATAAATGTAAAGCCACCGGACAGCCAGAATCTAGAGTGACAAAGATGGGGGTGGGGTAGGGGGCTACGGGGGTAGTCAGGCTCACATCGGGCAGCTCAAGTGTGAGTTCTGTGCCACTCAGATCCTGTGACCCAAATGGACTCTCAGAAACAGGAGTCTTCAGAAGCACTAAAACCCACTTGGCAAGATTGCCGTCAGCAGCCTGGTGATGGCACACACCTTTAATCCTGGCATTTAGGAGGCAGAGACAGGCGGGTCTCTGTGAGTTCAAGGCCTACCTAGTCTACAGAGCAAGTTCCAGGACAGTCAGGGTTAAACAGAGAAACCTTGAGAAACAAAACAAAACAACTTTTTAAAAAAAGATTATTGTGATCAATGAGTGATGTCTCTTTTTGTTTGTTTGTTTGTTTTTGTTTTTCGAGACAGGGTTTCTCTGTGACTTTGGAGGCTTTCCTGGAACTAGCTCTTATAGACCAGGCTGGTCTCAAATTCACAAAGATCCACCTGCCTCTGCTTCCCGAGTGCTGAGATTAAAGGCGTGCGCCACCAACACCTGGCTGTAATGTATCTTCTGTACCTGGCACACAGCATGCCCTTAATGAGTGGTGATGACCTTTACTTGGTGCCAGCAAGGCAAATATGCTTCATATCCTTACTCTTAGCCAGCCCTGGTGTGATTCTTTCTTCCTCACCAATGTATAACTTCTTCGCTGTATTTTCTATCCTCATTCCCTTCCCATCCATTGGAATCCTGACCTATAGTTAACTCCTTTGGGAAGTCTTCTCAGACAGAAAATATCAGACTATTATCACACACACACACACACACACACACACACACACACACACACACACACACACTCCAGCTGCTCTAGTGTCCTGGCCCCATCCTCTCTCCAGCTTTACAAGTATTCTGACTTTCCCTTCAAATGATTTCTTTCGTTTTCCCCTTCAGAATGTACAGCATAGGAAAGCATAAGACCTGTTTCTATAGACAGATGTGGTGGCTCCCACCTACCTGTAAGCCCAGCACTTGAGAGGAGAACCAGAAGTTCAAGGTCATCCTTGGCTACAAGACAAGTTTCAGGCCAGTATGGGCATCATGAGACCCTGTCTTAAAATAAAACCCAAAAGAAGTCTCATGGCTCTACTATAGTTTCAGTATATAACCATTTGTGTACAATCTTTTCTATGATACAGAAAAAAGGATCAGTGCTCAACTCCCAACAGAGATACTTGCTTCCTTTGACTTTGTCCAGTCATCTTTTCCTTGGATCTTGTTTTGCCTCCTGCTGAATGTGGTCTAGAACATTGAGGGTATTTAGTAAGTGTTGAGCTCGATACCATATACACCTCCCCAGTCCACTCTCTGGAGATCACCTTGCCACTGTAGGGGGATATGGGATCAAGAAAGCAAATTCTCCATCAGTAGCACCCCAGGAGAAAGAGAAGGGTCTTTCTTTTTCAAGAGGATAGACATTGAGAGGATACCATCAACTCAAGAGCCAGAATAGGCCGGGCATTGGTGGTGCACACCTTTAATGCCAGCACTCAGGAGGCAGAGGCAGGCGGATCTCTGTGAGTTCAAGGCCAGCCAGCCTGGTCTACAGAGTGAGTTCCAGCCTCCAAAACAATACAGAGAAACCCTGTCTCAAAAAACAAAAATGAAAACAACAACAACAACAAAAAGAGCCAGAATAGAGGCAGGCAAGAACTGAAGCCCCACAGCCTCGGGGTTACTGGCTGTCTCCCCACACCTCCAGAAGCTAAGGCTGGTGGTGATGTGCTCACAGTCCTGGCAAACCCCAGACCTCCCAACTGTAAGGAGCCTTCTCTACCTGCTCATTCACAACTTGCTCACCCAAAGGCAAGCGTGTCCATCGCAGCTAACTTTCATGCAGCATGAGACTTGAGTTTTTCTGGGCACTTCTTTCATCCTTGACTGAGGCCAGGTGCTATTAACTCTACTAGTGATGAGGAAACAGAACCAGGAGAACTTAGAAAACTGCCTGAGTAACATACAACTAGTTCAAGGCAGGTCTGAGCATCCAATCCAGCAGCTGACCCCAGGGCTCTTAATTACCGTATCAGAAAGAGAGCCATCATGTAGTAGTGGTGTCTACATACCAAGCATGATGCAGAACACATCATGTGTGTTCCTTGGAATCCCAGACAACTCTAAAACAGTCCTTCATTATATAATCCTTGCTCCAAAGATCAAGAAACTGAAGTGACAGAGAAATCTAAGGTCACGTCTTAGCAGCTGCAGGACTCCAGCTGCATGCCCTAAACCCTGGGATTGGGTTTTCAGCTGCATGGCCCTTTCTTCATAAACCTATCCTACCCATGCCCACAACCCGTGTGTTTCCAAATTTCCACTCATCTCCCTGCCCCCTTCCCAGTTTCCTAGCCCCCTTTCTCCACCACACTACCTCCTAAACCTCTCTGGGTCTCTCATTTGACCCCTATCCACCAACCCTCTCCCACAGCTTCTGCTTTACAGGATTATAAAGGAGACACTCAGATCCCCCACCCTCCCCAGCCGGTGCCGGCTCTCACTCCCAGGGAAGGCCCAGCAGTAGCCAAGCTAGACAGCCTGACATAAAATCCTGCCTGCTCCCCCGCCCTGCTTCCCATCACTCATCTGGGAATCCTGGGTGAGGGAGAGAGCTAAAGTGCAGAGCGTTCATTTAATATTAACAAATTGAAATGAATTCTTTTAATGCCAATTAGCTTGGAGCGGCCCCTTATTAATAGTAATTTAGATTCATACTTGGAGAAGCGGATGGGGGCTGGGCCACATGTGCCCAGAATGTCAATGTGACAATGGGGCTGGGACCAGAGGAGAGGAACAGCTCTTCAGCTCTGCCCAGAGAGAGGAACAGGGACAGATACAGTCACCACAAGGCCACTTTCCAGAGTGTGAGTTACTATTACAATTTTATTTTTGTAGCTTCAATAATTCTGAATAGACTAGAACTCTAGATCATACATTCCAGTAGTTTACCTTCTTAGAAACACTTTTTAAAAGGAAGAATTAGCCAGGAGTCATGGTGCAAGTCTTTAATCCCAGCACTTGGAAGGTAGAGGCAGGTGGATCTCTGTGAGTTCAAGGCCAGCCTGGTTTACATAATGAGTGCCAGGCTAGACAGGGCTACATAGTGAGACCTTGTCTCAAAAACAAACAAATAAATAAAAAACGGTATCCCCATCACTGCAGACCCAAATAAACATCATGTTTCTCTTCTGGAAATTCTCCCCCCAAGAAATAAAAGGCCCAACGGGCTGAAATGAAACTTGCTTGCATTTTTCTAAAACTTAAGGAGAAAAGCAAGAATAAAAACTAAAATCTGTACCAAAGAGTTGCTCAGAATAGACAAGTGGAAAGAACTTCAATCTAAAATGAAAAGTTAGAGGTCATTCTGACCTCCTATCTCCACTAGTTTCTGAGACAGAAGGAGCTAGCTGTCCCCAGTTGGGGCAGTACAGAAATAGGACAATTGCTTCTTCCTCCCAGGCACCCATCTGAGGACTGGGAAAGGGCCATTAAAAGCTGAGAATTATGGGAGGTGTGGCTTCTGAGATGGAGGAGGGTGGAGTGGAAACGGGCTGTGGAAAAGGGAAATACGTACAAGATGGTGAAACTTAGAAATAAAAACAAAAATGGCTTAGTATACAAAGGAGTAAATATGAGGTCAGGTTTCTTTAACTTAAGCGAATACATGAAAATCAAGGCAAAATAAAAGTGAAAAAAATGTGAAATATTCCACATTGTTCTTCCCACAGGGGTGTTGAACTGACCAAAAGAGAGAGCTTGTTCACAGCCCTCATAGAATTTCCCAAACAATAAGGTCATTTCCAAAACAAAAAGATGGACCAGTACAAAGCTAAATGCCAGTCCACGTAGAGGAAACAAATGAGATTCTAAACAACATAAAAAACTAGTTGGGGGGGGGGGTTGGAGAGATGGCTCAGAGGTTAAGAACACTGATGCTCTTCCAGAGGTCCTGAGTTCAATTCCCAGCAACCACATGGTGACTCACAACTATCTGTGATGAGATCTGGTGTCCTCTTCTGATATGCAAGCAGAAGAACACTGTATACATAATAAACAAATAAATCTTATTTTAAAAAAAAACTAGTAGGGGAAGAGAAAAACAAATAAATTTAAAATGTGGGAAGCAATTATTCATAAATGCTGACCTGGAAGATGGGTAGAGAAGGGAGGTGAACTTGATATCACTGAAGAATTAGTGTACAAAAGATGTAATTCATCCCTAGGGAAAAGTAAACTCTCCCGGAGCGGAGTTTCCTGGAGAAGGGAGGAAAGACTTTGGAAAGAGTGTAGCATTACTATCGTCCCCTACCGCCCCCTCCCGCGCCCGGCCCGCCGCTGACAAGGGAAAATACACAGACCTTAATATCCCTCCTCTCCATATAATTATGCTAAAGAAAAAAGAGGATTGTTTTCCTTTCAATTAAGAGAAAAGCAAAATTGGATTTCAGTTGTCTGGTGGGGCAAGAAGAGAGACTAGTCTGTAGGTGCCTGAGAATGTGGGCGTTGAGGGTAAGAGACCGGCTTACCTGACTGTGCCATCGGTCCGGAGTGGGCGAAGAACCCTGCTCCAGATTGTTTGTTAGGGAAAAGGAGGGCCAGGGGTCCGAATGCCCCCAGACAAACTGGCTGGGCTGAAAAACTGGGGTGCTTGTCTTCCCCCTCCACCAGTCTCCCTCCCATTGGTACCTAGACCTAGAGAGCTTCTGAAAGTTACAAATTGCTTCCATTATTAGCTCATCCCGGGCAGCCTGGTCATTGGCCAGCCTGAGAGCACGTGGTGTCTCGTACCAATAGATCGAATTTCTAGTTGCAATTCTCTGTCTGTCCCTCGGCTCTGGGGAGGGGGGGGGGGGATAGTAGCGCAGGGGCGGGGTGGGGCTAAGGGGACCCTCATCCTCCCTATCGGACAAGTGGGGGTCCTGAGCACTGCCCCAGAAGGGGTCCAGAGAACGTTATGGGCTGAGACACACCCGCGGGGGCAGAAACTGGAGGACACGACGGACATCACTAGCATCCAGGACTCTGTCCCTCCTTTCAACTGCCCCATGTTCGCCACCCCTGCGTTAGCACCCTGTGGGCCCAGGGCCGTCCGGGGTAACAGTCAAGGCGCTCTTGGATGCTCTGCGAATCACCGCCGCTTCGTCCTTACTTTGGGACCGGTCACAGGCTTCCGGCTTCCATCGGCCGCTTTAGATAGGTGCCCTCTCGGGTACCTCAACCCCGCCCCCCGGGGTCAAATGTGTGCCTCTCCTGGAAATCCTCTGCGAAGGAGACAAACTTTTGAGTGGACGAAAATCTAGAGGAGCCTGTCTGGAGCAGGTGAGCCGGGATGGGAGCGCGAAGCTTCAGTCTGGAAATCTGCGGCTCCGGTTCTCTCTCCTCTTCCTCCATCCTGCTTTCTTTGCTGGCGAACTCTGACCTGCCCGCCTTTGGCTCTCCAAGGGATCTGGGTTGTGGGTGGGCAGCCATCAGTCTTGGGCTTGGGGCACCTTTTCCCTCCTGAGTTCGGCCGCTAGGGTAGCAGGTGGCAGGGGTGAAAGGGTAGGGAAGTTTCTGAAACTGGGGAAGAAAGAAGAAATAGGGTCAGAGAGACCAGTGTCTGCAGGGCACTCTTCCCCAAATGCAACTTGCAGGAACTTTGGAAAAAGTTTTTCCCAAGGGCTTGGGGGAACAAGCAGAGTTGGGGGTTGAAGTTGTAGGTGAAGGGAATCTGCCTGTCCTCCAGAAGGTCGATGGTGTCGCTTGCTCCAGGGCCTGGACTAAGTACACCCGAAGAACCAAGTAGTCCCAAACCTGCTCACCCCAATAAGCCCTTAGGGACACTTGGAGGAGAGAGGAGCTGGGGGTGTGGGAAAGTAGCGTTTTCAGCTGTGCTGGGATGCTGGAAGGGTAAAGCCCAGACTTACTGGGGTCTACCACTGATCTTAATTTAGGAGGAGTGCAAGACAGAACACTCCCAGTATCTTTATTACTGTTTCTAATCTAGTTTGACTCAGAAAACTCTCTCTAAAATGGTCTCAAGGGAGTATACAACCCTTCCCATCTCCAGCACAACCCAATACCTTCCCACCTTCTCCAGCGCTCGGGGGAGGGCAAGGAAGGAGCCCCCCAGACTCCCCACCCCTCGCTGCTCTGGGGGCTGATTGCCCCACCTTGAGAGATACCCGAGGGGATGAGATAAGGAAGTTTTCAAAGAGAGATTTTTAAAAGGAATTAAAAGTAGATGTCGGCTTTAGTGAGCAATGTTGGAGCCAGACCAGGGGAGAGGGCGGGGGGCGGGGGGGGGTGCAGGAGTGGACTGCTGTCCTTTTAGTGAGTAGTGGGACCTGCAGGCCGCAGCAGGTGCAGGGCATGGCTGCCTAACTGGTGTCCAAGGTGTACTTGATAGGCTCTGCGCTTGAGGTCAGGCCCCTCTGGGAACCAGAGGCTGGAGGAACCAGGCTGAATGCAAATGTAAAAACTAAAAAAAAAAGCGTTTGGACCGGTTTTTTGAAAGGGCCGTGGGTCCCACTAGGAGCACATGGTGCTTCTGGCTCCGCAGGCCACTAGGCCCCATTTAGCATGGAGCATATGTGGGGGGGGGGAGCTTTGTTTGCAATACTCTAGAGAATTTTCTGCCAAGCACCAGCAGCTGCCCATAGTCCGGGAACTGGGTTCTCCCAGATGACCCGGTTAGGACAGCCATACTGCCTAGAATAAGTTTGTCACGGGTCGCCAAATCTGGACCTTTGATAGGAACCCTAAAGAGGCAGGCACCAAATCAGTGGTACTCAAATAGAAACGCAATGTGTTGGCTCATGCCTGTAATCCCAGCACTCTGGGAAAAAACAAAAACAAAAACCCAAAGCTTTTCAGAGAGAAGCACAGGGTCATAGGCTTCTCCCTCCCCCTTCAATTAATCTGCTTCTTTTTGCTTCTGCCCCCTCACCCCCCCCCCCATCTGTGGGCTTGCTACCCTTTTCTTTTTGCATTTCTCCCATCCTCTTTCTTCTTAGGATTGATGGAGTGACAACAGTTTGGGACAGCTTTCCTAAGCCCGTAGTGGGGACCAGTGGACCCCACCCACCCTGACATGTTAAGTAAAGGGACCCCCAGGAATAGGGTCCCAAACCCAGGGGAGTTCAGAAAGAACAGCGTGAGGGGAGGCAGGGTGGACGCCCGCCAGACCTTCCTCTGGGGAAAGGCCGGCCCATTTATGCCATCTGCACACTGCAGAGAGAAGACTTAGAAACAAAGGAAGATAGCAAGAAGTGCCAGGAAAACAAAGAGGAGAGACTGGGAGAGGGCGGGCAAGATGTGCCTGCAAGCTTGTAAAAGCCCCAGTGCCCAGCCAGAGGGAGGGACTCTGGAGTTCAGCAAGGAGGGAAGCGCACAGGAAAGAAACAGATAGGGGGCAGACTGGAGAGGCTCTGGTTCATTTGGGTTTTGCTTTGTTTTGTTTTGAAATAAGGGGTAAAACAGAAAAGAGAGAGGGTAAGAAGAGAGAATGCATCCCCAATCTCAATGGCCTGCAGGACTGCCTTATCCAGCCCAGGTGATGTGGCTACTCATGTGGGGTGTGGGCCAAAGCCAGCCCGAGGACCGCTGATATTTACGTTGACCCTGCCACTCTGCTCTGGGCTCTGGATGCTTAATCTCTGTGACTTGTAGTTTGACCATCTGTAAAACGAGCCGTTTATCCTTTAGGCTTGCTCAGCAATCTTGGCTTCCTAAATACGTACAGGGGAAAAGGGAGGAGATGAGGCCTGTTCCACCAGGTGGGAGAGGGGAATCTTGGTTTTCTTCCTTGGTAAGAAGAAAAACCTTGATTTTTTTTTTTTTTGGTGTTTCTCTAAGACAAGGTTTTACTCTAAAGCCTAGGCTGGTCTTGTACTTCCTATGTAACTCAGGATGGTCTTGAACTCACAGTAGTCCTCCTGCCTCAGCCTTTTGAATGCTGAGATTACAGGCATAAGCCACCGCATACTGCTTGAAGAAAAAAATCACGTCTTTAACAAAAGGAATGCCTTGGCGACCTCCCTCTCCATCATTTACCCCCCAAAACTATAGGATTAAGGGTTTCCCTCATGTTAGGACAGGTGGTTTGTAAACCCTGGAAGAATCAGAGAAGGAATTCTGTGTGAGGGAGAGAATAAGGGACAGTCTCTGTGACAAAGAAGTTTCAAGTGCATAGGGTAATTTACAGAACCTACAAGGGATGTGTTGTCAGAGTAACACTAGATTCTGCCTGTAGAGAGAACCACTTGATATATTTGAGTACATGTTGCCTACTGGGCCTGTACTACATCTCCTATGTTCTGTCCATGGGTGCATGGTAGAAACTATCTAGTTAGATTCAAGTTTTTGTTTTGATACTGAGAACCAAACCCAGTAACTCATGTATGCGAGGCAAGTGCTGCCCCACTGAGCTATATTCCCTTGCCCATGCCATGACTCAGGCTTCTTTGTGGTGTATAATATGCAGATATGTGCATGATTCAGGTTTGTTTGTGTATTTGTGTGTGTGTGTGTGTGTGTGTGTGTGTGTGTGTGTGTGTGTGAGTAGAACACTTACCTAGTATTTGTGAGGTCCTGGGAATTAAATAAATCCCTTGGTTTCCCCAAAGTGTGACAGGATTAGGTCGTTGGGTCCGATCTTCCAAGAGCAATGTAATCCTTGAGCATGCGCTGGGATCCCCCATCCAACAGCTAGAGAGGCATGCTAGGCGCTGTTCAGTGAAACCTTCACAGCACCCTCATCAAGGAGGCCTCTGTCCAGCACTTCCTAGCACAGCTCCCCCTCCCTCACCTCTCCTCTCCCTCTCTCTCCCCACTTTTGTTTCTTCCTGGTGCTCTTTCCTCTTTTGTCTGGCCAAGCCTGGACTCTTGCTCTTTGTATCCCAGCAGCCTCTGCTCTGAGACCCCGAGGCTGGCTGACACACACTCTGCCTCTGGAGTTCATAATGAAGATGTAAATACAGGGATTCAAAGAGGCCCTAAATGAGAAGCTGAGCTTTGCTAACCAGAGGCAAGGTACCCATTTGCTTTCTGTGTCAGGTGTGACTTTGACCTTTGCATCGCCTGACTCATTGTAGACAATTCTTCATTTCCATTTCCACCCCATCCCTGTTCCTGCAACAGAGATGCTGGTGTCCTCTCTGGGGTGGAGGTCAGTGACACATATTAGAACCTCAAAATGTCTAAAATGGAAAGCATGTTTCCCTGTTCTTGGTACATTTATGGGTGTTATTTCCCCTGAGTGAAGAGACTGGCAGATTCTAGGCCGCTGAAACCAGAGCACGGGTTGCCCTCATTATCTAGCACCCCCATCCTGGCCAGAATCCACATCTGCCAAGAAAGAAAGATGGCCCAATCCAGGTGACTGTGGACTATCTACCCATACCCATTTCTTTTTTGTTTGTTTGTTTTTGTTTTTCGAGACAGGGTTTCTCTGTATTGTTTTGGAGCCTGTCCTGGAACTCAGGTAGACCAGGCTGACCTCAAACTCACAGAGATCCACCTGCCTCTGCCTCCCAAGTGCTGGAATTAAAGGCGTGCACCATCAGCGCCCAGCCCATACCCATTATTTTATTCTTCCTGGCCCTGCAAAGATGGAGAGAACTCAATGAGCTTCAAAGGAGCCAGGGTCTCGGCGTGGGGAGCGGACGTGAGGAGCGGACGTGGGGAGCAGAGCCCGGTGGCAGCAATCACTTCCTCTGAGCATCTTGTGTTCTCAGTTTTGTATAGTTTGTCTTTGCCCCTCCCCAGGTTTGGAGACAGGAAAGTGAATGTTTAACCCCACACTCCACTCATCTTTCCCTGCTCTCCTGTCAACCTCAAAGCTGCCGGGAGGAAGGAACTGCGGCTTCCAGCCCTGCCAATAATCAAAGAAAATTCAAATTCTATCCTGAGAAGAAGGGCAGCTGCCTCCTTCCCTATCCTGCCTGCACACATTGATCTGTTGTGAGGGCACCTGGGGGGTCAGAAAAGAGACCAGACTGTTTTAATTGGTCTAAAATTAGCATTTCCTATCACACCAACGGCCAGAAACAAGAGGTCTTTGCCCAGACGCGTACCTGTCCTCAGGCCCCTCAGGCCAGCAACGGTGTCCACATTTGTTGGGGTGGGGAGTAGAAGGGGACATGGGCAATTCCACCCATTTTGCATCCAGTGTCCATAGCCGTTCACTCTCCTTAATGTTTTCTTTCTGCACTCGTCATGGGCAAAACATCGCTTCTACCTCGGCAAGTCACATTTATCGGAAGATTTTCGCCTCCCGAGACCTCAGTGTGCTGTGGACAGATACACAAATAAACAGATGGGAAAAGAAAACTTGGCTCCGTTCAGCTGATTTTCATCGCAGCCTTGCCTGCGTCAGGTCTCAGGACCCCGCTGTTGCCCCAGTCAGATGAAAAGCCGGGCAGCCCTTTCCACACTGGGGAAATACACTGGACTTGGTGCTTTCGTCCCCTGAAAGGAAGGGTGTGGGATGCACGGAGAGGGGTTCTGGGTACCTCCACCTTTGTAGTGTGAACTGTTCTGTCCCAGTGTGGGTACCTGGGAGTGGAGGTGATGTGGTTTCTCCAGGCTGCTGAACAGGCCTGTAAGTTTATCTCGGTGTAATCACATCCCTGAAGGCAGCAGCAAGAGTGTGCATGTCCAAGTGGGTTGCAGGGATGGACAAATGTACCCCGTCCAGTCTTAGGTACCCCAGGCCCAGAGGCCTGTGCAAGTACAACTGCCCGTGTGGAGGGGACGTGGGTGTATGGGGGCCTGAGCGTATTTCTGCTTATGTGACCCTCTATGTGCCAGTGTGTGCACCGCTGAATTATTACAAAATTACACTGACCCTTACAGAAAATCCATATCAGCCTCAGCCCTTCTTCCCCAACCTCTCGACCTCAGGGGTGCCTGAGGAAAGAGCTGACCCGGTCGCAGCCGCCCCTAGTCAATGAGTCTTTCTCCATTAGCATAAAACATGAATCTGCTGGCAGCTTGACAAATTATAACTAGCAGCCAGAGTTTTGCCAACTGGCTGGCTTGGGCGCTGTCTATTTATCATTGAAAATGGTAAATCATAAGAATCCAGATGACTTAATTATTCAAATCCACCCAGGACCCAGAGAAGCTGCAGTCCTGTCAATCTCAGCCCTGGGCTCAGGGAGGCTGGCAGAGGCCACAATGCTGGCTTGAAACCAGGAGAGGGAGAAGCAGGTCCGGCCATCACCTTTTGTGCCGCCAGTGGGAAGGGCTGTCTTTTGCACCTCCTCTCCTCCTTGCCTCCCTACCCACCTCTCCCGAAGAGGCTACGGGGGGGGGGCTCCCGGGGGCTCTCTCTCCCTGGGACCTCTGCTGCTAGCCAGCCCTTCTCAGCCCCCACAGCGCCTCTCCCATCCCTTGCATGAATCTGGCCGTCTTTAGCAGGCTCCAGCCTTCATTTCAATTTCTTCTTTTCTTTTTGCCACTCTCTTCCTCTTCCGTCACCTTCCAGATGGACACATACACCCTACATCCACTCACAGCCTTCCCCCTCTCCTAGCCCTTTGTTCCCATGCCTTGGGATCCCCGGGTCCTCACACAGGGGCCATGCACCACATTAGTCGTCTGTTCCTTCCAAATCTGCTTTTCTTTAGCTCAGGGCTACAAGATAGCCCAATGTCACATAACGCTCTTGTCTATACAGCTTAGGGGATGGTAGGCAGGCCATCAGCTGTGTCTGTCTCTTTCTTAAAGCAGGACTGTGCTCCAAGAAGGCCATTTACTGTCTGCACCAAAGCACCCGAAGCCCAGCAGAGGGACTGTTTGCTGAGCTTTTACAGGAGACAAAGTGCATTGTAAAACCAACACTCTTGAGACTGGCTGTGTTTATGTGGACTCTGGTAGGAGAACATTTCTTCTAGCCCTGCACTCCAAGGAAACTGTGTTCTCCAGTCCCCTAGAAAGACTCAAAGCGGGGAATGACTGTGCTCACCAGAGTTTCCCTCACACCGAAGAGTCACCCCAGGATCTCTTTGAACAGTACCCTGGACCATTGAGGGGTGGGGACTTTACCCTCTGCTGTCTACAGATGCTTCTGGGTCTGGCCCAATGTGATTATGACCCTGCCATATTATATGTTTGCATGGGTGCCACATACCTCTGTGGGAATGCTGCCAGGTCCCACCTCGCAGTGAACATGCCTTCATACATGCGTGTTTGCACATGTGCGGGCACACACTGTCAGGAAAGAGCCTGTGCTTTAACAACAAATGACAATGTCCCCACCAACAGGACACCCGAGGGAACAGTCATTTCACTCCATTCTATTTTAAGACCACGTTGCTCTCAATAAAACACTGGACTTGAATCTTCCTAAAACTCAAACAGAGCTGCATCTGCTGCTAAAAGTAAGTCCTTCCTAGAGTCTAGCCTTCTCTTCCTTTCAGGATGAAGTAGAGGGGTCAGGGATCTTGGGAGGGGATCCCCGTATAGCAGACAGGGCACGACAACACAAACCCCTTTCTCTTTTCTCCTTCCCACCTGTCCCCGGTCATGCTGACATTTGACAAGGGCTGTGGTGAGAGGTGAAGCTAGGTAGAGAGGATCAAGCCTCAAAGGCGGGCAAGCACTGCAAGGCAGATCGATAGGAAAGACAGACTGCAGACGGCTTCTGTCACTCTTTTCCCTGCTGGGTCAGCACTCAGGCCTTAGCTCCTGAGAGCAGGTGGGAGACAGAGCCAAGCCCTGGCCTCTCTCTGCCCTTCTAACTCAAACAGGTCCATAATCCCTGGGTGGAGGGTAAACAGCTTCAAACTCAGGAGGATTTACCATAGAAAGGCCCCTAACGGGCTTGGAGGCACGTTCCTCGCCCTGTGTTACTCATTAGCCCAGAGAAGCTGGTGGATGTGGAGGACTCCTTTGTGCAGGTGTCCCCTGTGACTCTGCTAACTTGGTACAGAGTGTCACCCCCGTGGAGGTGGCAGAGGAATTCCTCTGCTCTCTGCTTCCTGAACCAGGGCAGGAGTGGGGTGCTTCTCACCTCTGCTCTTCACAGCTGGGATGCAGGTGAGCAACTCGGGGGAGTGGGACCAGCTCTGGAAATCAAAAGACTCAATAAAAAAATTAATCGTGTAATTAAAATCCACAAGGAATCCCCTTGCAGAGTTTCAGGAACCATCAGGCCTCTAAAGGCTGGGGAAGTAGGTCTCTTCACCCAGTGAATTCTGGGATTGCAGCTCAGACTGCCTACAAAGTTTCATTGAACTTTCTGCATGGTGGGGCCTCCTGGAGGTCACCTTCTCCTGACCTCAGCCTGGTCACCCATCTAATTCACGTGAGCCTCAAACCCTAGATAGGCTCACCCCACTGCCCAAAGCAGTCAAGAGTTCCTACTTGCTTTGGTCTCCCTGATCTGCATTCTTCCTGGACTTTCTTTGAGACAGGGAAGTTCTAGAAGTTTCCACACCTATTCATTCAGGTTTGTTATGACTCCTCCGCCCCCTCTTTTTGTTTTGTTGCTCACCAGAGCCTTCCTATGAGGCCCAGGCTGGCCTCAAGCTATGGAGCCGTCCGGCCTCATCCTCCCAAAAGTTAAATTTATAGGTATGCACCACGTAGCTAGCTCCTGTCCACCTTTTGTGTGTGGGTGGGGGGGGGGATGTTTCTCTGTGTAGAAGCTCTGGCTGTCCTGGAACTAGCTGGAACTACAGGGAACTCACAGAGATCCTCCTGCCCCTGCCTCCCGAGTGCTGGGATTAAAGGTGCATGTTACCACCCAGTTTCCTGTCCACTTTTGGAAAACATGCATTTTATGTAATTTGAGAATTGGCAGATTCCCTCTTTTAAACCTTAGGGCTGATTTTTGCATGTAAATTGTATTAGACAAATAAGGAATTGATCTGGAGCTGAGGAAGTAACTCAACTCAAGGACATAGCGCTTGGCCAGCATGTGCAAAGTTCTGGGTTTGAGCTCCAGCACCATAAACAATTTTGTTGTTGTTATTTTTGAGACAAGACCTCTCTATATAGCCCTGTCTGGCCTGGAACTTGCTTATAGATCAGAATGGCTGAGAACTCACAGAGCTTAGCCTGCCTCTGCCTCCAGAGCGTTGAAGATTGAAGGCGTGTACTAATAAAAAGTTTAAAGAAAAGAATCTTAGGTCTGGAGAGATGTTCCAATGGTTAAGAGCACTCTGTTCTTACAGAGAACTCCAGTTTAGTTCCCAGCACCCTCTCCAATCCACCCATAATCTGACACTCTTCTGGCCTCCTTGGGCACCAGGCGTCTATATGATACACGCACACACGTGCGGACAAAGGAGTCAAACACATAAAGTAAGTCAATCTTAGAAAAAAGGAATCTGAGCCCTGAAATAGAGCCTGGAACACCTTTCCCAGCTAAGCAAGTCCTCTGGAGAGTGAGCACAGCTGGTCCAGAGAGGGCGCAGTCGGATGTTGCTGCAGGGCAGGTCAATGCCCCACCTTCTCACTGGGTCCTGGCATGTCTCTTTCCTTGGCCCTGCCCTGTGGGCATAGCAATGGGGCTCTGCTCCCTCCTTCCTTTAGCAAAGGCAAACATGAATGGTAGCCTATGAGAACTCATCCTGTCCCTGTTGTAGGGGAAGCTAGGCTAACAGAGTTTATTCTCTTATGACAGAGCACAGGGAATATGTGTCTACTATGATCAGCAATTTTTTCTTTTTTTTGGTTTTTATGAGACAGGGTTTCTCTGTATTGTTTTGGAGGCTGTCAGTCTAGCCCAGCCTCGAACTCACAGAGATCCGCCTGCCTCTGCCTCCCGAGTGCTGGGATTAAAGGCGTGCGCCACCACTGCCCGGCAGCATTTTTTTTTTCAAGGCAGGGTTTCTCTGTGTAGCAGCTTTGGCTGTCCTGGAACTCATTTTGTAGACCAGGCTGGCCTGGAATTCACTGATATCCCCGTGCCTCTGCCTCCAAGTGGTGGGACTGGTGGGATTAAAGGTGTGCATCTATGATTAGCATCTTTAAGCCTGAGCAGCAGGACAACTGAGGGCTGGCCTTCAAAGCAATCCTGGTAGGAGGACCTGCTGATGTTTCTGTATGCACCTCTGCTGATAAAAACATTTCTGCAATGCTGACTTTAAAAATTGACTTTAGGGGGCCAGGCATTGGTGGCGCATGCCTATAATCCCAGCACTAGAGAAACAGAGGCAGGTGGATCGCTGTGAGTTCGAGACCAGCCTGGTCTATAAGAGCTAGTTCCAAGACAGCCTCCAAAGCCACAGAGAAACCCTGTCTTGAAAAAAAAACCCAAAAAACAAAAAATAAATTGGCTTTAAGAGGCCAGGCATGGTAGGACAACTTTTAATCCCAGCACTCAGAAGGTAGAGGCAGGTGGATCTCTTAAATTCAAAGTCAGCCTGGTTTACAGACCAAGTTCCAGGACAACCAGAGCTACACAGAGAAACCCTGACTCCAAAATAAAAGAAAAAGAAAAAAAGGCATTAGGACCTGAAGACATAGTCAAACGCTGGCAGCTCCTGTAGAGGTCCTAGGTTCAGTTCCCAACACAGTCACTCATAACTGCCTGTAACTCCAGGCCCATGGTATCCAACACCCTCTTCTGGCCTCGATGGACTCCTGTACACATGTGGTATATATACATACACTAAATCAAGCAAGAGTTCACACACATACACTAATATGCATGTATATTTAATTGACTTTATAGTCAGTTTATAAAATATTTGAATCAATCAGCATACATTATAAATTTCAGTGATTTGATAAAAAGCAAAGAACACAAACAGCAATCTAAAAACTGAGTCACAGATCCTGAAGATGTTACAGAAGAGGAGTCTCGAAAGGCTGTGCGGCTGTAATGTGACTGCTCCAGGCAACCAATCCTACCCAGCTCAGTGGTCACATCTGGAGGGTGTTACTTATCATTCCCAATGATCCTTCCTTCATTCATCTGGTTGTTATTTTTCATCTTAAACAATGAGCGAAGCTTTCCTAAGAAGGAGAAGAAGGAAGGAAATAAATTCCTGACCCCCATCTGGGCCAAGATTCCATTTCTGATTTCAGCCATTTCCCATTCACAGGCACAAGTGTAACTAACCCGTGTGGCCAAGCCACTCAGCCCTCAAGAACCCCAGACCTGGAATGCAGAACTCTGGTTACCAGTCACCTCAGATTAGATGTGTGCCAGCTAAGTACCACACCCCAGTGGGTGCTCAGCTGTGAGTTATCTTCCTGCATGTAGGGACTGTTGTTTGTCATTTTGTTTCTCTAGGACAGGGTTTCTTGTACCCCGGGATGTCCTTGAACTCATGGCCCTACTACTTCAGCCTCCCAAGTGCTGAGGTAACAGCAGACTCCATGTGTGACCACTGCCAGCTTGCCATCTAGGGATTTTAGAGACCATTTTTCTTTCCTGATGGATGTGCTCTGTCGTTTCTGCTCCCTGCTAATCTTAGACTGCACACTGCTCCAGGGTACAGCTCCATTTTCTGGTGCCTCCTTCTCACAACCACTTAACTTTAAACATCATTTTGTCCATCTCTGTCTCATTTAAATATTGCTAGTTCTCAAAGGGGCTTTAAGATAGCCCACCACCCACATTTCCCTGGTTAGGGTGGGGGGGGAATCCACACATGAAATTCTATGTGAATGGCGCCACCTAGAGTTGTGCTCTGGGAGTGCAGGCATTGGTGTCTCTGGAGCTGAGCAATCCTGAGATATTTAGCAATCTTGTCTGCCTCACCCTCTAGGATTAAAAAAAAAAGAGTTTTGATAACTGAGGTGTCAACACCTCAGGCCCTCAAAATGGGCTCAAAGTGGAGATCCTCCTCACCACAATGACAGCAGAGAGATCTGTGCTCAGCATACAGCTCACCAATCTTCGGTCTGTCCACTTCAAAGGCAGTGGGAGCCCCTGGAGGATCCCTCCAGCATGCAGGGTAGCACCACATTCAGTGTTGGGTGATGCTGCAGAACACCAGTCAGGCTTGGCCTGCAGTCGGGCGAGGAGTGGCAGTGGGTGGTGGAGAGGCGAGTGGGACCGGGTGCAGGGGGAATGCCTGTTGTGGGTAAAGAGACTTGCCCAAGGCGCCTAGACAACAGTCCGTCAGGATCACACTGGTACCCTCACCAACAGGCCAAGCTGCTCTCCCTCTTGGCTGTCCCTCAAGCCTTTCCCTCTGCACATCCCCTCCCTTCTCTACCTTGCAGCCACCATGCTGTTTTCAAACTGCCCTCTGACTTCACAATGACCCCTCAGGCATGGTTCTCCCAGCTTGCAGAACCCTGTGCCCTCATCTCACTGGGACAGAATTCCAAGTCACCCAAATAAGACAGGATACCTCTGACTTGGCAGGACCCAGAATCTTAGTCACAGAGCTCCACAGGACTCCATCTTTAGAATCAACATTTATTTTTCTGTGTGGGTGTGGGTGGGTGTGCCATGGTACATGTATGGAGGACAGGAGACAACTTGCAGGAGTTAGTTCTCTTTATGCCACATGGGTCCCAGGGATTGAACTCAGATTTGGTGGCAAGTGTCTTTACCCACTGAAATATTATGCACATCCACAGCTACTCTTTCAAAGAATGGAACACTCCAAGGAGCAAATCCAGGACATGGTCAAAAGATGGAGCACTCTGGAAAAGTCAGTCAGCCCACCTGTCAGTGCTTCCCTCATGTAGGACTACACGGACCAGCGGCAGTGCGGACCCAACAAGCATTTGGCCTTATGTGACCCAACTAAGAGAGAAAACCAGATGGTGAAAATGAATGTTTTGAAATGAGTTTCAGAAGCAGGCTAAAAGGCTGTCCAAGGGGGTCCTCCCAGAAGACCCCAAGATGCTGCCTTGGGGACCTGGAAGGCAGAGAATCCCTCCAAGGCCCTAGGTTGCTAAGGAGTTGTTGCCTGGCTTTTTCTCTGTTCTCCAGAATGTACATCAGGGACGGTGTTCGAGTGCTGCAGGGTAGCATTGCCCATGGCTAGGAACAAAGGGGAGACGTGGCCTTGGCACTGATTGCCTATTTGGCAAGAGAAATCACCAATGCTCTCTTGTAATGCAATGTGAGAAGATCCCCAAACTAGAAACCTGAGGGATGGGGGTGTGGTGCCTGCACACACCTGCACCTCTGAGAGGGAGGAGAAAGCATTGAAGCTGACTTTCTGAAGGGGTACGCCCACAGACTCGCATGTTCTACCCAACTGAAGGTTATCCTCCACCCCAAAAATAAATCCCTGGCTTCTTAAACCACGGTTACAGTCCTGAGTCTGCAACTAACTAGATTAGTTCACTCAAACTCAGGCCAAATGACTTAATCTGAAGCAAGATTCCAGCCAGATGCACCACTCCCGCCTGCAAGATGTTTGGAGTGGGGGCACCTAGAAGAGTCGACTGGCTCCCAGAATCTCCGTGCCCTACCGTCCTCTTCTTTCCCACCTTTGTGGAAGGTGCATGCTTCCCCAGCTCCCACCCGAGTGGGAATCCCCGCCTCCCTGCAGCAGCTGCTTCATCCTCCCCCACGCTGGAAGAATGCAGCCCTCCCCTTCTGCTCTCCTCCAGGCGCAGACAGGGAGGGAGACAGCATATGGCCCCATTTTCTTTGGCCCGGGGAGGCTATTTGGGAAATGAGAAACCCCCTTGCCCTCCCTCCCCTCTGGGGAGAAGCTTCCCTCCTCCCTCTGCACATTCTCCACAAGTTCTCAGGCACACAGCCTCCCTACGTGCAGCTATGTGGTGAACTCACCGCGTTCCTCCCTCCACCCACCCCCCAGAGGCGCCAGAACTGGGAAGGGAGCCTGCGAAAACCTTTGATGTAGGCACGTTTCAAAAGGCCCACCTGTCCTGTGGCTCTCCCGCCCCATGCCTGGACTGCTGGAGCCCCTCACCATACAGTTTTAAATCCCAAGTTTCCCCAGCCCTAGCACGGCCAGGATCGGGTCACACACACCCTCTCCCGCTGGGGGTAATCAAACCCAAGCAAGCTCATTGGGGACATCTGTCTCCGGTGAATCAGGTCAGATCGCAAACTTGAGGAGTTCTGTGACACTTAAAAACTTCAAGCAGGAAGACCTGCGCTTTTTCTTGGACCAGGGCCTGTGGGCAGGGTCGCTAGGAAACCCTCGTTTGATGTTGTGCTTTCATGGCAGTGTTTTGATCCAGATGTTCCCCAGTTGTGGGATTTTCTTCTTGAAGGGAGGGCACTTGGCTGTGAAGGCATTTCCATCACGAGCACATCTGGACAGTGTGATGGGGAGGCTGCATTTCTGGTTCCCTCCAGACTGCTTGCTCAACACGACTCCTCCCCTAACCGGCACCCCCGTTTTGTTGTGTGGCTGTTCAGAAGTGGTTCTGCTCCTGTCTTCTCCTGACACCATAAAACGGAACTGAAGGTGTTCCCCCAAAAAATGGTTCCCAGATCAGGGCAGCAGGGGAAGAAGGCAAGTAGCCAGATTTCTGACCAAAATATGAAAAACATCACAGCTTGTCCCTCTTTGGGATCAGTTCTGAAGAGATAGAAGCGAACATTTCCAGGCCCCTTGGTCTTTCTGCTACCTCAGAGTTCGGAAGGATCAAATTCATTCCTATTTCCCCACCAACCAAGAACTCCCTTGAATTCCTGGCATCCTTGTTGATTGGAGGGGGGGTCAGGCTAACTCATAGGCTTGAGGGTCCTACTTGCACTGTGGGTATAAAAGCCTAAACTAGACATGTGAACAGTGAACTAAGACAGACAGATGAAAAATCCCCAGGGCAGCCACACAGAGGCACCAGTCCATGAATGGACCCCGAGACCTGTCATCAACATCAGTTTTAGTAAGTAGATTTTTTTCAAGGGAGAACCTGGGAGGAGAGAGAAGCTGCTTGGGTATGGTACAAGAATAGGAACAGAGGGAACAGAGACCAGAACCACCCAGAAGTAGGGCACCAGGGGGCCTTGGATGAGTGAAGTGCTAGACCAGGAGTGACCAGTGTTGGAAGGAGCCAGGGGCTGGGCTGAAACAGAGGTGGGCACGGCTCCACGCCCTCATCCCACAGGAGAACTGCTGTTGTACCCACAAAGCCTGCTCTGAGCATCATCACAACAAGGCACATTTTGAGATCACATGGCTCCTAAAGGACAGTTCTCGGGTGCCCCACCCTCTTACCCAGCCTGGTATAGATGGATTGGGTGGTATGTGATAGGTGGAAGAAATAGGGCTCCCATGCCGGAATGTTTTCATATTCCCCCACGTCCTCTTCAGTAGGTAATCATTCTCGCTTTGCCTGGTCTTATATACCCCATATGTCTTGAGCTCTGAGAACTGAAAAACACCCCATCATTCTTAAGGCAGCTCATCCACCCCCACCCCCCCATACTTCTTTTCTCTCTGAACAGGGGCCCATAAGGGACCCTCACAGCTGGGCAGCAGCTGGAGGCCCCACCTATATGTACTCAGAAATACTTCTACAGGGGACCCACATCTAGGGAAGCAGGGGAGGACTCCAGCAGTGTAGTCCTCCACCTGACCTGCTTGCTCAGTTCTAGGGCATCGCAAATGCTCAGGCAAAGATCCCAGTCAAGTTTGATGGCTCATGCTTATCAAGAAACTGAAGCAAGCCCAGCGCTGGTGGCGCACGCCTTTAATCCCAGCACTCGGGAGGCAGACGCAGGCGGATCTCTGTGAGTTCGAGGCCAGGCTGGACCGACAGCCTCCAAAACAATACAGAGAAACCCTGTCTCATAAAAACCAAAAAAAAAAAAAAAAAGAAACTGAAGCAGATGAGCTCACAAGTTCAAGGACAGTTCTAGGCAGCCTGGGCTACAAAGTGAAACACTGTCCAGCGTCAGGGGTATTCCTGGTGTCTCCATGGAAGGAATGGCCAGTGGGGCATTTGAAAGTTTTGTGTTCCTCCCTCTCCCTGACCTCTTCCATTTACTATCGCCAAGGAACTCAGATAAGTACACATACCTCCGTAATGCCTCCTTTACTTCCCAGGTTAGCTCTGGCCCTTCAGATCCTAGATCTTAATCCCATGAGGCTGCAAAAAACATCTTCACCTCTTTGCAGAGCAGGGAAGAGGCAAGGATCCAGGCAGGAGCAATGTGCCTTCCATGATTCCCCTGCCAATACTGGTGCCTGCAGTCTGCTTGTTTGGGGCTCTAGAGCTCAGTGGTAGAGGCCTTTCTTAGCATGTTCAAGGCCCTAGAGACAAGGAAATGGAGAAATGGGGAAGAAGAGAAATAAAGTGAACATAGTGGCACATACTTTTAATCCTAGCCCTTGGGATAGCATCCTCATGACCACGAGTTTGCCAGTTCAAGGCCTTCCTGGACAACACAGTGAGGCCCTGTCTCAGAAGAAGCAAAGAACTGGAAAAGAGGAAACAAATGGAATAGAAGGCTGAAAGAGAGTCAGAAACGAGACTTTCTTCTGCATTTTATGCGAGCATGGGTAGGGGAAGTGCTGTGATCTGACCTTCCTGAGATCCAGATCCAGCCTTCCAAGTCACTCATTCCAGGGAAAACCTCCCAAGCACTGTCACTCTGTGTGTGGACACATGGGTACTGGCAAGTGAAATCACAGATACTGAACAGTCGCCGCGTGCCTCTGGCGGTGGGTGGAACTTTGCTCGTGGAGAAGGGAGAGAGCTATCGATGTCATTGCGTTTGTACCCATACTGACTCATAGAGGGCCATGTTACAAATCCCACAGGCTCCCATCACCTTGTCCCATGCCAACCCAGACATGTGAACCCCAAGTCCCCAAGGTAGACAGAAGAAAGAACTTCCCTAGAGAATCAGTGCAGGACAGTAAATCAGACAGAAACAACTGTCTCCTGGAAGGCAATGAACCAGGAAAAACTCATCTTGCTGGACCATAAGTAATGTGAGGCTTTCGTTGCAGGAAGGAGGATGACCAAAATGACCCCCTCCACAGCTCCTGGGTCAAGGTGAGGAGAAGATTTTAGGCAAGCCCTGAGGAGGAGGGGACCCAGAGAGGGACTGACAGGAGATGGAGAGTGGGGGGGGGGGAACAAAGCTGGAGAGATGAATGGTCTTGGCAGGACTGATGGCCAGGGCCAGGATGGATGGGTGGCGGCTGAGGTTTGTTTACTGGCATCCCCCAGCCTGCTACTGCCCAGGGAGAGCAATGGTGGCTGGCACATCAGCGGGCTCTTAGAGAAGCTCGCAGAGATGATTTAGATGGGAATGAATCCGCTTCGTATGGATTAAGTGTCCCAGCAAATCCCAGGATCTTACAGATGAGGGGACGGGGCAAGGGCACCGGAGGGAGGGGAGTGGGGAGCACACATAGGAAACAGAGAAGCACACAAGCTTGGAGCTGTAGGAGGTGCCTTGACGGGTGTGGCAGGGCAGCCTAGCTTAGCCACAGCCCTCTCTTTCCCGATTGGCACCAGGCTTTAGAGAAGGCCTCCTCCGCTCTAACCCTGCTGGCTCCCCTCCCCTCCCCTCCCCCTGTCCCTCCTCGTAGTCTTCATGCATCTTCCCATCTCTATTTTCCTGTCCCTCTTCTTCCACAGTCCCAGCCGGGTCTCTGCTACTGTTTCTCTCCCTGGGGGCTTCAATAGCTTGAGGAGCCTGCCTGGTCTCTGGCTACCATGGCTCAGTCTGCCTTTCCTCCCTGCCAGGCTCAGTGTGGCTCTCCTTCCAGTGGCAGCGTCCTTAGGTTCCAGGTGATTAGGAGCAGGACAGGACGGCGTGAAAAGGGACATTCTGGCTGCAGGACGCTTATCCTCTTCCTCTCTGGGTCTTTGCTTCAAGCTGTCCCATATGATGGAGGCTCAGAAGGCCACTGGTACTCTTGGATTAACCTCAAGTTAAGTAGACACAGCTTCCTCCCAGGCCATGGTGGGGGGGGGGGGAGGAACAGGTTGTGCAAGTTCATCTCCCTGTACTCTGGTACTCTTGGATTAACCTCAAGTTGAGTAGACACAGCTTGCTCCCAGGCCATGGCGGGGGACAGGTTATGCAAGTTCATCCCCCTGTACCCTTCCTGGGGATCCTCTGCTTATGAAGCCAGCCTCTGTGTGGACAATCTGGAGTTAGAGCATGGGTAGTCACATAGGATGATCGGTTGAAATATCACAGCCTCCCCCCTCCCCCATTGGTGATCTATGGGCTGTGTGTGCCCTGTAAAAATTATTTATCGAGGCCTCAGAGTGTCCTGATTTAGTGCATCTGCCTCTGGGGCCGAGAGGCCTGCCTGTCCGCTGGAGCCTAAGCGTTAAACGACGCTAAAAAGTTAAACGGCCAACGTTGGGGGCTCACTCAAGGAGGCACCATAAAGCTGTCGGAGCTGCTTAAATCAGAAACAAGGATTCCCCGGGACATCTTCTCTCCATATGCTGCAAGCCAAGAAGCTTCTCCTCACCCCTCTGCTGCTCCCCAGCATGTGCAGCCTGAACAGGGCAGGCTCGCCTGAGCGGTCATAGTGCCCAGCCATCTCTGGCCAGGGGTCTCCTTCATGAGATAACAGTCTTAGAGATTCTCAGTGGAAATAATGAAGATAAAAGTGCAGCCTCCCCCCCCCCATTGGGGAGAGACTTGTTGGAAGTTCTCCTTTGAGGTTTCTTGTTTGCTTGTTTGTTTGTTTTCTGAAACTTGATCTTCAAGACCTGGTTTCTCTGTGTAGCTCTGACTGTCCTGGAACTCGATCAGGTTGGCCTTGAATTCAGAAATTCACCTGCCTCTGTCTCCCAAGTGCTGGGATTAAAGGCACACACACACACACACACACACACACACACACACACACACACACACACACACACACACCCCTCCAACCCCCAGCAAGCATGTCTTGATTGAGTCTGCATTTCTGTGAATGGGATCCTCTGGAATTCAGTGTCTTCCTGCTTGGGTTTGAAGAGAGTGTTCTGTTCAAGCCAGGCTGTGCCCTCTGACCTCCCTGCCCACCTGCCCCCACTTTCATGACTCCCCGAGAGACACAATGTATCCTTGGAGTATCACCCTTCACGAGGGCACCTGAGCGGCAGCATTACACTTGAGCATGGCAGAGGGTTCTCAGCCGAACCCCAGTCCATGCTGCCACCAGCCGGCCGCTGCCAGGCAGGAGGGAAGGTGGGTCTCCATGGGCTGTCTATCATGCCTACTTTCAGCAGCAATAAAATGTGCCTCTTAAAACCTCCACTCTAGTCCCTAATATTTGCCTGGCCATATATCTCCAGTGATATACGGGCAGAAATTGCTCATAAACAGCTATAAAACCTCTCGGAGCTGGGGAGGAGGCACGGAGCCCGAACCGCCAGAAGATCAGAAGTGGCTCAGCTTCCGATCTTCCTACACCCCAAACTTAGCCTGCACCCCAGTGCCGGATAGAGGAAGGTGAACCAAAGGCAGATCCTGAAGCCCCTGACTGCTCCCGAGATGTGCTGTGTGGCCTTGGGCGAGTCAATCAGCAACTCTGTGCCATGCTTTCTGTCACTAAGATGAGGATGGCAGTTGTCCAGGCCCCCAGTTGTTGTAATAACCAGAGGAGGAAGAACTCACCCCACTCTTTAAAAAAACTTGTACAGGTACTGGGCACACACAGTCTGAAGATGGGTACAGTGCATTTGGAGAGCACATAAGCTGCATACAAAGCACCCCTCACCCTATAATACCTCGACGTGTAACTAGTCCTGTTATCATGTCACAGGTGTAAAACCTGAGGCCCTGAGTAGTGTGTACAGGGCATCAGTGTCAGAGAACTGACTCCAAAGGGTGGGCAGTCCTTGCCCTTCCCACCTGTGAGGCTGAAATCCTGGAGCGTCGGAGGACTGAAGGGGACCTTCTCTCCTGAGGCTTACTCCTCACAGTCACCAGACAGTCAGTTCCCAATGTGGAGGGCCCTTTCAGGGAAGTAGAGCCCCTCTCAACAGAGACCTGAACACCTGCATTCTGGGTAGATCAGTCAGGAGAGTTCTTAGTGGGAGGAATACAGACCACAACAACCAGGTCCAGAGTTCCTGACCCAAATTCCCACCAGCCATCCACCTGCTGTCCCTATGGTCTCTGTCTCTTCCCTATCATTCCCTGGATATCCCTCCCTTTGAAGTTTCCAGCTCTCTATTCTCACCCCCACTCCTCTCTCTCTGCCTGTCTGTCTCTCTGTCTCTGTCTCTGTTTCTGTCTCTCTCTCTCCTTGTCTCTCTCTCTCCCTGTCTCTCTCTCTCCCTGTCTGTCTCTGTCTCTCTCTTTCTCTCTCTCTGTCTCTCTCTGTCTGTCTCTCTGTCTCTGATTCTCTGTCTCTCTGTCTCTGTCTCTCTTTCTCTCTCTGTCTCTCTCTCTCTCTGTCTCTCTCTCTCTCTCCCTCCCTCCTTCCCTCCCTATGGCGGCAGCCTCAGTGTCTGTCTCTCTCTCTCCTTGTCTCTCTCTCTCCTTGTCTCTCTCTCTCCTTGTCTCTCTCTCTCCCTGTCTCTCTCTCCCTGTCTGTCTGTCTCTCTTTCTCTCTCTCTGTCTCTGTCTCTGTCTGTCTCTGTCTCTGTCTCTGTCTCTCTCTCTCTCTCTCTCTCTCTCTCTCTCCCTCCCTCCCTATGGCGGCAGCCTCAGTGTCTGTCTCCTCTGGTCAATCCACCTTCTCCATTCCCACCTAGAGCTCCTGGTTTTTCCTTCCCTATAACATGGCCCCCAATCCTTCTGCCTTAGCTGTCTCCTGTGACTGCTCACCCTGCCCCTCCCTCTCAGTGTCCCCCAGCTCCTAATGCCTCCTGGGATACTTTGCCCTGGTCCTTCCTAATGTCCTCCTAAATTTCTAACCTGCCCCCCAGAACTCCCAGCTGCTGCCATACCCTTGGTCCATTTTCATGTTCTGGGGTTTTACTTCAAAGGACCACAGCCCAGCCCACCACCTGGCACAGAGGAAACAGCTGCAGGAGAATTCTGTTTGCTTGGCTCGGCCCTTGAGGAAGGTCTGTCATCTCTGAAAGTCTGAGATCTCCTAAGAGAAGGGTCTATAGCAGTAAGAGAGAGCTAGGTGACTTGGAGCAGAGGACAGAGGTGTCCAGGGGGAGGGAACAAGGAGGTTGCAGGCAGTCCGGCCCTGCTCCAGACTGCCTTGATATTGGAGTCTAAACCATGGCCCACAGCTTCATCTGCTGGCAATGGGGGTCTGGAAATAGAGACAGATAAGCCAGGGCCAACAGTAGGAAGGCCACCATTGTGCCCCACACCTTCCTTTCC